CATGTGAATTGTGTATGATTGTATTATGAATTTACTATATTTTTATATATTGAAATACAATATTGTGATTTTTCAAATGAATGTTTTGGTATGTTATTTGATTTTGTTAAGATTTATTGCTATTAATTATGATGAATAATTAAATATATTGATGGATATGGAATTGTATGAGTTGTTATTAAATGGTATATAAGTTTATTGCTATCTTATTTTTAATATATTTGTGGACATATTTATGATGTAATATTATTGGCATCTGACATGCATTGTTGGGCTAAGGATAGAAGGAGATTGAATGGATATAAAATTACCACGTGGTATGCCATCACTCGGTGCACAGTGGATGGCACTTGTCAGGGCCCCTTCTTCCATGTTTTCCTTTGGCCGGGAATTCATTGGAGCTGTGGGACATGTGACACCTCCCTATTCACAAAGGAGGGGAGCCATAGTCCGAGCTTGAGCTCTATATCTTTGGCCGGATATATCTCTAGTATCGGTGAGCTTGGAATAATTCAGTAAAATGGATTAGTTCCTATCGGACTATGTGTTAGCCTATGGCTCCAGTCAGCGGTATAAGGGTGGACGGTGATATAAGGGAGGCAACATATTGCATTATTTTTGGATATATTAGAAAAAGGATATTGGTATATTGTTAAAAAAATGAAATTGAATTGAATGTCTCAAATCCGTGATTTTTAATATATTTATATACACACATATAAACAGATCTTTGGTTTATCATATGTGATTTGCTTGTATAGGTTAGAATTTCAGTAGTTACTGAGACGTTTGAGCTCATCCCCTATATTAACAATTTTCAGGCGAAGGATCTAGTAGGAATCAAGGGAAGGCACCAATGGAGTGAGCCGTGAAGGCTTTTGTGCTCCTCAAACACATGCTATGTTATATTTTTATTTGCCATGACTATAAGACTAATAGTTTATGTTGTTAAGTTATGTTAGAAATGTTTTGAAATTTTGACTTAATTGCAGTATTAAAAGTATGTATGGACTTTTAAATTAAATATTTTATGGCGTATATTGATATAATTATGTGAGGTGTTACAATATATATGAATTAAAATAAGTAAAATATGGCGGAACTCACTTTGATTCATGTGTAATGCTCATTTAATAATGGAGCAGGTTATATTGGATCATTTTGGGTCTAAAATACTACTCGTCCGGTCCTTAAAATAGAATCATAATTTTTGTTCTAAATATAAAATTTATTTATCATATTTATCAATTTTCTCTAAATTACTTCTATGGATACTCCCTCAACCATAATAAAGTAGAAGAGGAAGAGAGAGTATTAAGAAAGATGATTACGGTGTTTTAGAAAAAAAATGTCACATTTCTTATAATTAACTAATTTACCTAACTTCATTAATCTAATCAAATTAGTTAAATAGGTCTTATATTAAGGATAGGAGGAGTATAAGCTTTTCATTTACAGTATGATACTCCTCTGGTCCTATTTATAGGGTAAAAAGAGAATGTATTTTTTGATCCTATTTATAAGGTACTGAGAGAAATTTTTTGTGTGGATAATTTTACCCCTTGTTTATTATTGTGTTGATTTTGTTTATATAAGGTATAATGTATGTTAAATAAAGATAAAATTAGAAAGTCATTAAATTTTAAATGAGAATTAATGAAATTTAAGGTTTTTCTTTGTCTATGTGAAACATACCACAAGTATCTTATAAATAGGACCAGAGGAGTACAATTTAACATAAACTGATTTTTGCATTCATGTGATGATGCATAGGTGTTTGGAAATCATGAAAAAGACTTTCAAAATGTTTTTATACACATTAGGACAAAATTTTTCTCACATACTTATTTTAAACTTCATAAAATTACTTTGAAAAAGTTAATCTAAACAGCCTCAATGTGCTAGTAGTTCATTGATATAAATTAAATTGCATCACCATAAATTCATGCAAAAGATAAGGCAGAGATCACACGAGCTTAACTTCTCTTTTAAGTCACAATTTACAACACTTTTTTTAGACAGAGAGTACCAATTGAAAGATCACAAAATCGCTTAAAACGAGAAGGTCAAGAAAATTACCAGTTAAATATGGCCAATTAATTAGGAGCATTACCAGCTAACTAAAGCATAAAATTTAAGAGAAATTAAAATTCAATCCATTATAAATTAACATCCAATACTTCTTTAAAGGTGCAAAAATGTTCATTATCTTTCCCAAAAAAGTGTTACATACTCGCATCATAAACACATGAAATTCTTAAAACGGAATAAAAATGTCATTTTCCATTAACTCTCGTTACTTTTTCGTGGGTTTCACCGAGCGTCAATGTGCTGAGTCACCATGTTATCTCTCATCTTAGACAACTTTCGCTTCTTCTCACCATTCCTCTTAAAATTAGTGATCCGTTTGGATAGGAAAAAAAAGTTAAAAAGAAAAAAATAAAAAAAGAGAAAATAGGGGGAAAAACTGAAGAGAAAATGTTAGAAAATATGAAAGAAAGAAAATGAGTAAATATGTCAATAATTAAAATGTCCTTGTTCTTATTTCAAAATATATCATGTCACGATGAAAAAAAAAATCATATTAGCATTAACATCATTAAATAATTTAAAATCAAATTATTAGTAAAGATATGTTGTCCGTAGTTATATTTTAAAACCTGGCAAAAAATGCGATTATATTTTAAAAACCAAATAATTTAGTAAAAATATTATTCTCAAGGAATATACATTTTTGAAATAAACATAATAAAATAAATAAATTATATATATGATTTAAAATTATTAATGAATAATAAAAAATTTAATATAAAAGTTGAAGAGATAATAAAGAAATAATATGCAGATATATATATATTAATTTGTGTGAATTTTTTATATTTTATTGAATGTGAAATAATGCAGTTCTGAGTTCATGTGCTGATTTCGAATGTTTGCCATAATACGGTGAGACAATTTTGTTGAATTACGTAACTGTAGATAATTTTTTTTTAAAAATTGCATTAAAGGCAGAATATGAGATTATTAAACTATGTTTGAGGAGGGTATATGGGGAATGTGAGTTTTCCTTCCTCCTCTTCTATCTATCCAAACAGTGGGTAAGAGATCAAATCAAGAAACAAAAAATTGAATCGGACACTAAACCAATTCAAGTAGTCATTCAAGGTCCATTAGATGGACTGGGATGAAATCGATCATATTAAAATAATATAATTTAATTAAAAATAACAAAATATAACAATATTAATAATCACTAATAACAAAATACAAAAAAAATATAATAATAGTTTGATTGTAATAATAACAAAGTATAAAAATATTGAGAATTTTAATCTTTATAGCTCATTTATAACTAAAATTACCAATAATTGATACTAAAATCATTATTAAAATTTATTCAAATCTATAGTGATTAAAATATTAGAAGCTAAATAAGAAAAAATAGAATCACTAACAACATAATCATTCAAACAAGTTTATCACCGGTTTTTACCGGTTCATCCTGATTTGACCGATTCGATACCAATATAACTCCTGACTTGTTCAATACCCAAACCAAATCAAACAACCAGTTAATTCAGTGATTTTTCAGTTGAACCGACTGGTTCGGTTCAGTTCTTTTCTTTCTTGGATCAAACTGAGACTTGTATAAAGTTACAACATTAAATGTACATTTTTGCCATGAATTAAAAAAAAAAGGTTTGAAAATTGAGTTCATAAAAATAATTATTAAATAAAATTGAACTTCAATAATTATTTTGTTTCTATTGACACGTCATTTTTGGTGAACTGAAAGATTCCCTCCAGCTCCCCGCCGATGCACGATGAGGTGCTCTTTAATAAGCCCGGAAAATGAAGCAACCTATGTGGGCGTCAGCCATAACCATTTACTAAGCTCTCAACTGTCATCAACCCACTATTCTGCTCTCTTCTTCTGGTTGGTATATTTTGCATTTTCCTCATGAGATGTAAACAGAATTCAGTCAAAAGAGAGTATTTTGACCTTCGTATAAATCGCCTCATTAATTTTTTTTTCATAATTTATTGTTTTATAGTAGACCGTTATTTTTTAATGTATACATATTAAATCGAAGTAAAAGAGTGTTGAAAATTAAAAGAAAGGGAACGATAATTAAAAATATAAATAGGAGTAAAGAAAAGTAGAGTAAGAATCTATTATGCATTTATACTATATCATGTTCCTAACATAAGACCTAGAGAATTAATTTGAAAAATTAAGAAAACTAAACAAATTACTTAATTATGGCATATTTTACATGATGTTTTTGAAATACTTATATGTGTCATTAAATTATATATTAATTTAAAAAATAATAAATATAAATATTTTAAAATAATTTATTTAGCTTACATAATTTTTCTAAATCAATCAATTAAAAGAAGTTGGAGAAATCACATTCTAGATAATTTTCTTATTCACTTCAATGTATATTACTTGTCTCATCATCAACCATTAATATCCTCTATTCATATAAATTACATTATAAAATAGATTTTATTTTATATTATAAAATACTAAATTTTATATTTATACTACAAAATAAATTTTACATTTGGTATGAGAGGAGTGCTTTTGGTACGCATCATAAATTGATCTCTCAAGACTCTATGCATTAGATTAAAACTTGGTTCTAATTATGTCAACTGTGTCCCTTAAATAACAAAAGTAAATCTGCAACTAACTTCAACAATACTAATTTCTTCACTTTCTGTAGGTGTGTACCCCCACACCTTCAATGGTAAGCTAATGCTCGAATTAATTTCATTAATTTTACTTTATTAGCTGATTGGATCATCATTTTTCTTTCAAGTCGCATGCTTTGAGTGTTAATTGACTATATTCCGCAGGTCCCATGAGCAAAAGTATAAGATCCTTATATTGTTAATTTTAATGATTGTGTGAGAAGCAAACTTGTAAATCCAATCCAAGCCGATGGAGGTGGCGGATTTTCCTGGCATGTTGCTGGGGGCGTGGCCAGAAGCGAGAAAGTAGGAAAATGAAGTCCGTGAAAGACACAAAGCCAGATCATATGTGAATGTTCCAACTTCGAGGCTGAAAGGACAAAGGAGCCACCAATATTCATTGCCGCTATTATTTGGCATTTACCTTCTTCCTCTTCAATCTCCTCCCGCTAATCTCGCCTCTTTTTCTCTCTCATTACTGCTCCACAGTATACGATTCATCTACATTTCTCTCTCTTCATTACGCGTTTCTTTCTCTTTCCCTGTTGGTCCTCACTGTCACTCCAACTACGACAATGTCTGTTTCCCTCTCCGTCATCTTCTTCATCTTCTTCTTCTCCTCCACCGCCTCCTCTGCTCCTCATCAACCCTACCCTTATGGTAAGTTCTCAGCTCTTCTCTGTCTCTTTCTCTTATCCAGTTGGTTTGCTCCTGTAGTTCTGATGGTGCTCCAATCTATCTACTGTCACTTACAGGTTTGGCTTACCGCATCGACTGTGGTAGTCCCACTAATACCACTGACCCATTTAACGCCACCTGGCTCTCCGACCGATTCTACACCGGAGGCGCCACCTCCATAGTCTCCGAGCCACTTCGATTTCACTTCTCCTACGAGAAGACTCTTCGCTTCTTTCCCGTCTCCTACGGCAAGAAGAATTGCTATGTAGTCCCCTCTCTGCCCAATGGCCGCTACTTCTTCCGCACATTTATCGTTTATGACAATTACGACGGCAAGTCTCATCCCCCGTCCTTCGACATCTCTGTTGAGGGCACCGTCGTCTTCAGCTGGCGCTCGCCGTGGCAGGAATCGTTAGCTCGTGATGGCGCCTACTCCGATCTCTTTGCATACGTCGAGGACGGCGAAGCTGACGTCTGCTTTTACAGCTTAGCAACTGATCCTCCGGTCATCTCCTCCCTTGAGCTGGTTGAGGTCGATTCGTCGTCCTATGATTCGGCCACTGCTGGAAATGACCTCGTTCTCGTCAATTATGGCAGGTTATCTTGCGGTAGCGATTCATGGGGCCCTGGATTCAGCGACGACACGGACCTGTTCGGTCGGTCATGGCAATCCGATAAACAATTCCGATCAAATTCGGAATATATCAGTACAATATCGACGAAGAATACTATAAGGGTGACTGATGTAAAGCCCAATTACTTTCCTATGAAATTGTACCAGTCGGCGGTCACGGTGGCTGGAGATGGCGCATTGGAGTACAAATTGAATGTGGACGCGAAATTGGATTACCTGGTGTGGTTGCATTTTGCGGAAATTGATTCGAGCGTGAAGAAGGCAGGGGAGCGGGTTTTTGATGTGGTCATCAATGACAAGAATGTGACTAGGATTGACATATACAAGCAGGTGGGAAGTTTTGCTGCATATAGTTGGCATTACACAGTGAAGAATCTAAGCAGCAGTGTCTTGAGTGTGAAGCTTGTAGCGGCTAAAGGTGCTCCGCTCATTAGCGGGCTTGAAAATTATGCCCTCGTACCTAACGATCCTGCCACCGTCCCTGAACAAGGTGCGTTATGGGAATTGAAGTCCCTATAAATTTAGAAACGTATTCTCAGAAAGGAAACTGATTTCTACTTTTTCTTCTTTCGGAATCTGAAAAATTGTTTGTAGTGATTACTACATTGATAAAAAATAAAAAAAATAAAAAAAAAAGGTTAGGAAGAAACTTGCTATGTAGTTTACCTTTTTTAGTAATAATAATATTTACTGTTGATGCCGACACCGCGAAAGGAGGGACATGGTTGTGATTTAGATGGCTGAAAACCAAGCCTAAAGATCTATGGCATCTGGTTTATTATTGACTTGGGACTCGTTTTGTAGTATTTGCCATGAAAGCATTGAAAGAGTCACTTCGCATTCCTGATAGAATGGGCTGGAATGGCGACCCCTGTGCTCCAACTAATTGGGATGCTTGGGAGGGAGTAACATGCCGTATGAACAAGAATAAAACTGCTCTTGTGATTAGTCAAATGTAAGCATTTCATCCACTTATGTTAAGTCGTTTATCCAGACTTTTGACCGGCTTTATGAGATCAAATTTGATGTTACGCATGAATAGGTAAAATGATTCCTACAATAAAGTCTTATAATAAATGAATCACCATACTTTATTTGCTTGATAACTACTAAGTTGATTCCATGAGAATATACATAGATGACGGCTCATTAGTGTTTCTAAGTATGCCTGGTATCTAATTGCCATATAATTTCCCCAATAAAGTTCTCTTCGATTACAATATTTTCCTCATAAGCATCCAAGTAGTTTATAAAAGAAGACCAGGCAAATAATCACTTTTCTGCCTGTGACCACTGGACCTATTAGCATTCATATCTTGAAAGAACAAACGTGGTAAGTAGTGAATCATGGGTTGAAATCCTACTCCTCCTATGAATATTCGAATTACCGAATCATGCATTTGTTTTTTTTTTTTTAACCCAAAAGAGAAGAATGGAGGAAGTTATTGCCTTTCCTTCTTTACGTTAAATTCCTTTCCCTTTTCTACAGCTTTGATCAAAATCTATGTTTCAATTTTTTTAATTTCAGTGATCTAGGCAGTCAAGGCTTAAAAGGGTACATAAGTGAGCAGATTGGTCTTTTGTCCAACTTGGTAAGCCTGTAAGTATCAGCGGCCAACATTTTGTGCATATCAGACATATTCGTCATCAAATTCATTATATATGTTGGGCTTAACACTATACTGATTTGAAATAGAAAAATATGCTTAGATATGATACTTTCTTCCCCCATATTATGCTTTATGGTTTAAATGTAGCCTAGGAAACATAGGCGTTGTCGTGGAAACAGGACACTACACTGACATGAACACTGACGCATCAAAATTTGAAGGGCTTTGTCATGCCGTTTCTAATAACAGTGTCTGACTGCATACAGCTTCTATCTAAACATTCATGATTCATAATTTTTAACAGTAGCCACAGAATGCAGTTATCCATATTAATTGTTTTTTGAACAAAATCATTCTTCACTTTGAAAATAATCATCTTTGTCAATTTCAATCAAATTTTATCTTCAATTTTGGCACCTACAGTATGTACACTCTAGTCTATTGAACAATATTGGCATAATCCCAACTCACTGTATCACCTCTTGTTCATTATTCCTAATGAACAGTTAACAAGATGCCCAGTGGATGGAGTGATGAATATATGCTTAATCTTGGTTTAAACTGGTTTAGTCCTTAACATTTTCATTAGAATTCCATCCCAAATCTTGTATGAGCCTCAACATGATAATGATTCATAGTATAACACTTTCTTTCAATATGCGTGTTGGCTGAACTTTTAGTTCCAAATCTCCTGTCACAGGTCGTCATTTGTATATAAATACACATATGCAGCATTCAATTTTCTAACCTAAGTCATTGTCATTTTGGTCTCAATTGTTCAGTAACTTTGTTTGCCTTAAAATTACAGGAACCTGAGTTCTAATTCTTTGGAGGGTGAAATTCCTTCTGGGCTTGGTCAAAAATCCCTGACAAATCTGTAAGTTTCTGATGTCTTTTCTGTCTGATATGGTTGTTCTAGCAGTTCCTTTTTTTTTTTTGGTTGTTATTGATAAATCTTACGCATGAGTGGAGTACTTTCTTCCTTTGATTATTTAGCGATCAGATTTGAAGTTTTTTCACCTCATAAAAGGTCATATTTTTTTATTTACTCACAAGGAATCTGCTATCATACTAACTTCGAATAATATATTTAGAGTCTGTATGTTTGCTTGCCTAATTTTTTGTCAACATCAATGCATTTCTAGGGATTTGTCCAACATAATCATTTGATCTGTACGGAAATTTATGAAGTCTTGTAGTTTATTTACTGTTTGATCAGGTCTTATTTCTTAATTATGCTGTAGGGATTTATCCAACAATCAGTTAACAGGCTCCATACCAGATAGCTTAGCATCATCAAGTTTGCAGCTTGTGTAAGTATTTGATGCTTCCATATTATGTTTAACACTTTAATGAAGTCTAGGTCATGATTAGCACAGATTTTTAAATGGAATGTAGTTTTTGTTTGTCTTACTGATGCAACACACACTCGCGCACACTTCCACAGCTGATAACAAAGGGGACATAGAGAGAAGGTAGAAAACAGAGAGGGAGGAGGGGGAGAGGGTGACAGAAATGGAGGAGGAAGAGAGATATGAACAGAATGGTGGGGGAAGAGAAACTAACGAAGGAGGGACAGAGTTTCGCTATCTGAACAAAGCCTTAGTATATTTCATTCATAAAAAACAAGTCTCTTCTAAACAAAATGCATGAGGGGTATATGCAGGCCAAAGTTTCCTTCATGAGATGGAAACATCCCACTTGGAGCAACAAAATAGTATATGACATAATTAAAGCAAGAAACTTGCAAGTTATAACAGAAATTAAATAAAATAAAAGATAGGTTTCCTCAAAATATATTAATACCTTGGCAAATTATTTAATGGTATCCCAAATTGTTACTGTCCATACCATTTCCCGTATCTAGCGCTCTTATCTCATTGGGTTACTAATATCTCGCTCTCTCTTTTCTAGATTTCCTGTCAAATTTTGCTTTGGCAAAAAACATTCCATTTGAAGTTGTCCTTATATCAGTGTCAGTATTTCTATACATATGGTTCATTGCAACTGGCTTCTACTCATTTCGTGACATTCATAGTGTGCTCAGTTCATTTATCATATTACTTTCACAATAGTTACTGCATAATACGAGTTGTGCTTTAACCATTGCAGTTGTATATATTGCTTAACATGCACTGTAGTCAGGTCTTATGTATGTGGGATTCTTTATCTTCTCCGGATCAATTTTGTTTACCACCCCATTTTATCTTGCCAGGCTATTAAATGATAACTTATTGAAAGGACGGGTGCCAGAGCTACTCTATTCAGTTGGTGTGCATGGTGGGGCTATTGAGTATGTCTTTTATCCGCTAGCTGTAATCTATCAGCTTTTGCAGACTGATTGAATTTGATGATACATGAAAAACTAATCCCACATCATAATCCACCTTCTTTAATAAGCTGATTCCATTGTCCCCATCCCCAGCAATGCTGTCTCTGCAATATTTTATCTTTTACTAAGAAACACGTTGATAAACTGGTGTAAACCAGATTATAATCGATTCAAATTCTGTAAGATTTCTTGGATGGATGTAATTGGTGTCCACCTGATCAACATTAGTTGCCATTTGCTTGCTGGTGATGTAATAGGATTAGAATTCACAAATCATCAGAGTATCGTTGGCAACTATTCATTTATGGAAGTTCATTAACCTCTTACATTATAAACCGCTCAGGAATAATATATATTCTGTTGTTGGCAACTATTCATTTATGGAAGTTCATTTAACCTATTATTATTATAAGCCGCTCAGAAATAATATATTTTCTACTTTTATTTGATTTGCTTGCATTCAGTCTCTATGGCAACAAAGGTTTGTGCGGCGTGCCTTCTTTGCCATCATGTCCAATATTTTGGGAGAATGGCAGACTATCTTCTCGGGGCAAAATTGCCATAGGATTGTCATGTCTTCTTTTTTTCTGTCTGATAGTGCTGCTGGTATATATCTACATCAGGAAGAGAAGAAATGATTATGACTTTGGTCTACCTCATGAATTGATGTGTAAGTATGATGGCAATGAGCTTTAGCTTCTGGAAAGCGATGGTTATTTTCTCTAGTCCTCCTACTGCGTATCATGTTTTAGTTTCTTGGGGCTCACTGCAGTATGTTTTTTTTTAGTGGCTTATACTAGTTTAGTAGCTGCTCTTTTATGTTACTGCTTAGATTGCACTGTGCATACACGCACAATGAGCTTCTGTATTTGTCAATCATTGTTTCTTTTAAATATTTACTGGTGCTGTGCATCATCTGGTGTTATTCCATCTTCACCATATGCCTGTATGTCCCATGTATGTCCAATTCATTCTCTCTAGTCTCGGTTATACCATGTCCAATATATGTTGAAGGTGGTAGAATAACTGTTCACATGCATGCATTCTCTCTCACACACGTGCACACAGATACTTTTAGTTATAGCTCATCTATTCATGAATATGTATTACTCCCTCCTTAGACCGGAGGAGTATGACTTTCCCTTTGTTTGGGATATTATTAAAAGTGATAACCCTAATATTGCACACAGATACTAAATATTGTAGCTCATCTACTTCAGGGACCAAAACCACTTGTTTCAAATTTGAGACACAAAAACCAAAACGAAATCAAATTTCAAGGACTAAAAATTATATTAATCTAATATTGCACGTTGCCAACCTAATGGTGCTTTCTGAATCTCTGACAAGCCATCAGAGACTCCTTGAGCTGTGTCAGTATGGACATAGTAGGTCCTATCATTTCATTTTTCATTTTTTCTGTTCTGTATTATTTCATCTTTTACTGAGCTCATAGACACTCGGCTGATGATACCTTACGTGATTAATAGGAAACATGTGATTGGTATTTATTTTCTGTTAGCGAAGTAAAGCATATAATGTCAATTTGATTAGTTCACTTCAATATTGTTGAAATTCTGCAATGATGCTTATCTTTTCCGGGCAGCACTGAGTGCTGTGGTGCATTACTGGTTTTAAAATTTCTTTCTGGTTCTGCAAATGACTCAATTTTTGTCTCCCAGACTTGGTAAATTGTCAGACGACGCAGTAGTTTACCATTAATTTTCTTGGCGTGGCTTTTGATATCATTGTTGGATTCAGTCTCAATTTCACTTCCAATGGAATTTATGTGATGATATATCACAATTGAAGCTGCTTAGAGGTCTTTATTTTAAAGGAATATTGGGTCGTTTAAACCTTATATTCTCTTCTAACGCTGAGTATGTTGTTTGGTTATGGCTTCATTTTTGCAGCTTTAGCTGCCAAGAGAAACCGATATCAGCGGCAGAAATCCTTGATGGTCCTTGAGATGGAGAGTCAACATGCCAAGGGATTACATCCATTTACTCCACAACAATAAAGTTTTGCTGGCAGTGAAAGATTGATTTTAGTTTTTGTCCAGATCATACACCAACACATATTACTGAAAAGAATTCAATGTTACAACAATAATACCCAGCTCTGATGTGCCAACACTGCCTCTGTAAAAAAGTTGCCTTATGGTGTTGGTTTTTCTCCCTCAACATTTTCATCTCGTCAAGGATTCTTGAAGCCACCACTCATTGCCAAGCTCTGTGACAGATAATACCGAAAGGGGTGGTGAAGTCTTGTTAGTTCAAAAGCCTTTAGCACCTTTTGATGAATACTTGATGGGGGGACTCTTAAAAGTATGTAATTTGGTCCACAAATTAGCGTTCAAAATTTCTGGGAATACATCTGATCTGTTGACTCTTTACAGAGTATATTGATTTATGTAGAGGAGCATAGTTGTACAATGAAATTTAGGATGATCTTTCATAGGTATATAGTAGAAAATTCTATATTTTCCTTTTGGACCTTTTGGCTCTTCCATTTACTGAAAAAGATAATTGCACAACTCCTGGTAATACTTTTGTTGACTTGGAACCTTCCTCAGTCAGATTTAGTGAGATTAATGTGTGGCAGAGTAAATTCAGAAATGATGACCCCATGTTGGTGGACTTGGAAAATTTGGCATGCATGATTGATCAAAGTGGTCTGGTGAAGATCCTTCTGTGTGATTCCTTTTGATGGTCTAGAAGGGGCACAACAACCTTATTATATGTATATCTTCTCATAATCTCTTGATTTGCTCATCTTTATTCTACTATGTATTTATTACCTGCTGACTACTCTCAGGTTGTGATTGCATAACTATGAATCTAATCATGACTCTCTTTCCTTAAAATTGTTCAGTTCATCATTCAAGAATTTTGATACCCAATATGAAAACATGATAACACTCTTGACTGCTTGGATTATTAACGCCATACACTATTATTTTAATATTGACTCAAGTCTAACGAAATTATGCCATGAAACGATATCATTTCTAAATCTCGTTTGGTATGTTTATGATAAAATAGGGATATTTGTAATACCATGCTTGGCATAAAGTAAATATGATTCGAATGAAAAAAATCAATTCAAATTACTCTTAACAACTGGAGTTTTCAATGAATCTCTTTAAATTGCAAGTGTATATGCAAGGGCAATTCAGACTTTTCACACTATTTCATTCCAGTCATTCCCGTACATTCCTTTCGTGATCTGAGGGCAACGAGAAAAGGTATTCAAATTCATGCAAAGCAAACATAAGCAAAAAGCTCTCAAAACAAACACACCATAAACTATCCAATAATTTGTTAATTTACATCTGATCTCACTTAACCATTAGATTAAACACAATTATCAAGAACTTAAACAGCTGGCTAAACATAATAAAAAAGAAAGACTTTACCATCATGTATCCTTCGAGTCAATTATCTCATTGAAGTCGTCATCCTTTAAACTTTCAGATCCGTCTTTGTTGGGGAGACAGAGGGACAAAAAGAAAAAGATATATACTCTTCGGGTTCTTAATATAAAAGCTAATTAGGGAGTTGATGTTGGTCCTATATATAAAACTTATTTCACACGTTTATCAATTTTTTTCCAAATTAATTCTATTGATATTCTCTGAGTAATAATTAAGTAGGAGAGAGATGGAAGGAATTAAAAAAGATGATTATGATGTTTGAGAGAAAAAATATTATATTAACTAATTTAACTAACACCCTTAACCTATTCAAATTCGTTAATTAGGTTTTATATTAAAGATAGAAGAAGTATGTGTATGTATGTGTATATATAGAGAGAGAGAGGCACATTGACTTGGTTTTCAATGGTTGTTTGGCCAGATTTATTTAACAGAGAATAGCTTTAGCAGTGTAGCGTTTACGCCAAACGAAACCTAGAAACGTATCACGTATGGAATACTTTCGCTTCTCAGTCGCATTACAAAAATCTGAATCACAAGAAATAGAGTTTATTGACTTGGACCAATACAAATGAACGACCACAGAACACCACCATGCAACTTGGTCTTTTTTTTTAATGATTATTATTATTATTATTCATTAAAAGTTGCTAAATGTCTTCCGCAATATCCTCACAAGCTTCATTTGCACACAGCCACGGTGTCTGACTTTTGACACCCAACCAGGCCATTATTTATTGTCCTTTCTCTCAAAACATTTTATCTTCTCATCCTTGATTTGACTCACACCATATAGACATTTAATTCTATCATTTTCATGAAGAATAATTCTGCCACAAATTTCTTTAGTCTTCCATTTAAAGCTCTCTTTTACTTTTCCAAGAGGATATCTAATTTGAGCCATTTAAATTTTATCTGGATTGTTTTGGTGCTTGATTTTCTTTAGGATTAATATCATTTTTAATCCCCAAAATTTGGTCTCGTTTTTATTTTGATCCTTAAAATTTGAAACCTATAGTTTTGATATATGAAACCTTGTTTTGAAAGACAAAAAAAAACACTGTTCTAGGGAACAAAAAAATTTAGACAGGCCTAAATGAGATCAAATTTCAGGGATCACAACCAAAATGAGATCAAACTTTATGAACTAAAGATTGTATTAATTTTGAAATGACAAATAAAATGTAATGTGAAATTAAACTAATACCTTTTTTTAAGTGAAACCAAGGTATTCTTAAGTTATCTTAGATTTGAGACTAATCTTTTTCGAGTAAAGAATAGTAAGGGAATAACCCTGCACGCTCTCATTTTCCTCCATACAACCAACAACTTGTTGGTTAAACTGAAGCTCATTATTTTTAGCCATTTGTTTTTAGTTTGTTTGATTTTGATTTCAACCTGCCAGCAGCACCATTGTCAGACTGAGACCTAATCCCAATATAATATTAACCAAAGGTCAGTCAACAAATTCATGCTATGTAAATAGAATTATATGCTGTGTTAAGAGTTAAATTATATTATTACTCTGCACTATGAGCTGGCTCAATTGTGTCACACGGCTTCAATTATCATGATCAAGCAAAAAATATCTTCCTGGCCACAAAATTTTATGAGTAAAACTGTATTTGAATATGACAAAAATTTTATATATAATAGTAATTAATATGTTAATTATGACTAAGATATGTTTAAAAAAACAGGCAAAAGATTCCAATAGAAGGGCATGACCCAGTTAGCTCTGATTAGGTGGTGACTGAAATTTTTTACTTTTCTTTCTTTAAAAAAATGGAAATTTAAGAGTTGATTGTCTGTTTTTAATGTGGTAATGAGGTGTCCACATATGTCCCTTTGAAGCATGTGATTCAATTCAGCCACATCTTGGAATAATGTTTAAATTATTTTAAACTAGGCTGATTAATTAAGGAAATAGTTTGTTTGTCAATGAAATGACCTATATTTATCAGTATATTCACTATCAAGTTGGCTTATTGTTTTAATTTATTAATTGTTTAGTGATTGATTTGCCTGGAAAATTACATTATTGGCCACACACGACTCCATTTGGTCGTCTTGAAATTAAAAAAAAAAGAAAAGAAGAAAAAAAAAATACTATGTTGTCCCCATTTAATAATTTTCGTTTGAGAAAGAAAATAAATAGGAATAACTATGAGTCTATGATACTTTTTTTCCCCCATGTAAATCAATTTCAGGAATTTAAATTCGTAGGAGACATCACAACATGTTTCAATATCATTAATTGATTTAAATTGTGTTTATTAAGAAATAGCAAAAGGACAAAGCCATTGACTTGGTTGACCTCGTCATCTGTGCCCACCAAAAGTTTCCTTCGATCTATGTCTCTCCTAATTTCTTCCCTTAAAGCTACTTCATTCTCATCCATATATAATTATTGCCTAGATATTTTCATGCAACTGAGTTTATCCATACTTTTCATTAATCAATATAATACTTTAACTATATATTTGATATACTATTAACTTTATATATGGGATGATTTTTTATTTTTTTATTTTTTGCAAACCATCCGCTATCTAGAATTGTACTTCACTCTATCTAATTTGGCCAGATTTAAATCGAGATGAATGAATCTCAAAAGAAAGGCAACTTTCTCAAATATGTTTTTAGCATTTAGGGGGACATTTTTTTTAATATGATATTTAAATAAATGTAAACATGTTTTATTATAAGGAGATTCAGCCATAGTTGCGGTGAATTTATGAAACAAAATTACTTAGCCCTTAATTAATACTCCTCTGGTCCTATTTATAAGGCAGAGAAAATGTATTTTTTGGCCATATTTATAAGGCACTGAGAGAAATTTTTTGTATGATGTACAATTTTACCTCTTATTTATTATTATGTTGACTTTGTTCATATAAGGTATAACGTATATTAAATATGGATAAAGTTGAAAAGTCATTAAATTTTAAATGAGAGTTAATAAAATTTAAGGTTTTCCTTGATATGTGTGAAACATATTGAAAGTACCTTATAAATATGATCAAATGAGTACAAGCAATGGAAATCAAAATAATAATAGTGATACAGCTAATAAATTAAGGGATGAGTGGTAATTAAGGAAAAGCATATGTGTTTTTATTTATTTAAAAGGAGTATTGCAATAAAATCCCAAGAAATAAACATAATTACTAAAAAGTTTAAAAAACAACTAAGCAGTTTGTAATGACAAATTTGTATTAGAAAAATAACAACTTCCTTGTCATTGAAATTTTTTTATAGTTATTTTTATTTTTTTAGTCTTTATTATAATTCTCCCTAATCTAAAAGACAAATTTGTGAATGAAAAATATGGAGGAGGAGGAAGAGTAAGAGAGAGAAAGAAAGAGACAAGAAGATGCTAATTTATTTCTTTGGGTGTGAAGCTGTAATCCGGTGGTGATGATCCATAATGGGGGCCAGCTACGGCGCCATCCACTTGCCCTAAATTTAATTTCTCAAAATGTGATCACATCCCTCAATGCGTGCCATGTCGGCAACATAACTCCAGGGTCTCCCTCAACTTTCCTGGTCCCACTTGGATATTCCCCCACTTTCTTTTTATTGATAAATTCCATCCTCTTGGAAATTCGTAGTAAATACCAAGGGGGTGTTTGGTATTCTTCAAAGCGCAGTTTCAGAAGTACTTTTTCGTAAAACGATATAACCTCCTCTACATATTTATTTCGTAATCCGTAAAAACACTTTTAAAATTATGATTTGGTTTCTATCTAAACACTCTCTAAATAGATTCCTCTTTTGGCTATTATGCAAGAAGGCATCTCTGACCATTTTCTGAAATTTAAAGGTTAGTTCTTTTTCTTACTTAAAAGTATACTCACTAATAATATGAGATTATAGACGAGATTAATCTCATAATTTTTTATTTATACATGAAAGTTTTTGTGTCACTAAACTATAAAATAATTGGCGGTTAAGTCGTTAGTTTTAACTATCTGAAAATTTAAAAAAAAAAAACTGGCTTTTTTTCTCATATCTAAATCTATGTATTGAAAAAAGAATAATGAAACATTTTAAAATTTATATTAAAATTTCCGTCATACTTAATAATTTTAAGAATGGAATATATATTTTGTTCTCTAAATTTATATCAATTTTTAATTTAATCTCTCAAGTTTTTTTTTTTAACAAAATAATCTCTTAAGTTTAAAAAATGTTCTTTTAATCTATTGATTTTAATACCGTTAGACTCGTTTAATGAAAAATGTTGTCGCAACAAATTTAATTGATATTTCTACAATTTAATGTCGGCAACCCAACTCATAGGCTATACTATACTGCCAAGAGTCATCCATCCTTTCTAGAAAGGCGTCACAGTAAACACTGAATAATAATGAGTATTTCTCTCTTGAAAAGTAAAAAGAATAACAAATTGAGAAAATCGCAACAAAAGAAAACTTTTAAAATTAAACAAATTACATATAAGAACCCATTAACAAAATTGTTGTCTATTACTTATTAATTGTTGTCAAAACCAATACTAATACTATAAAAGGTGTTTTTTTATAATTTCTTTATTTTTAAGGTCTTGTTTTACCATTTTCTCTAACAAAGTTTCTTTATAAATATGAGAATTTTTTTTCAAAAAAAAAAAGAAGTCATTTTATCATCACCTAAATATGGGTAAAATCATTTCCCCACTTTTTTTTTTTTCCGGCCAGATGTCTTATTGACCTAAAACAAAGTAGTTGCTTGGAGGGTTGTGTGGCTTCACGCCGACACAAATTTAAAGGGAGATCATAGAATGGCTTGTTTTATTTATTAAAAAGGTACATATTATTATTATCGTCAACATAAGATAAAAACGACGCAAAAAAATTGCATGCAAAAAAAAAATTGCTGGTAAAAAAAAACGATGCAAAAAAATTGATCATTGTTTAATAATGGAACTGAAGTTACTTAGAAGACGTGCATGCATACCAGTCCAATACGTCATTTGCATGCGCGCGTCGACCAAAACAAACTTATCGAAATTGAAATATTCAAACCCTGAAATAAAAATCCATCTGAAGTAGGAATTTTAGAGTTATTTATAGTAAAACTTACTATGTGAGATTAAAAAAATTAATAATAACGCTATCTAAAGTTTTCATGGAAAAAAAAACGCGAGAGAAAGTAATTAATTGAAATGAGTAACGGAAATTTTAAATAATATAATTAATTAATAGATGATTTTTCTCAGCTCTGGTAAATACACTTGGCCAATATTAACGATATTATTCGATTTCGAATTCGAACCCACTTCGACCAAAATTAAATATGCTGTATTGACTAAAGAATTGTCAACTTAAATTAGTCCACTTGATTATTCTTTTCTTTTTCGTTTTTTGGTGTCGACTAGTACATCCAATAACTATTGGTATCTTCCGAATTTCAAATTTATTTTTTAGTTTATTTATAATTACACGAATAAGCTTAATTAAGGGGAAATCTTATCATCATCAATATAAAAAGTAGATTTACTGTCAAGTCTTAAAAAACGAAGATAAAAAGTCACAATAACAAATGAATAGTTGAAACTTATTGTCATTTTCTGTACTGATACTGTTTATTACAGGTTGTTCAGTTATTATGAAATTTTTTAGTAATTATTTTTCTTTCTTAAGACCATATACAATTCTACCATGATAAAAAATCTCTTTATCATTTGGCCACGATGGAATTTTTAAGAGTTTGCTTGAGTGAAGCTAATTAATGCAATCAAGAGGAGAAAAATTATAATGGAGTGTATATATTACGATTAATTCGATTATTCACTAACAACTTAATTATGCATACTACGTAATTAATTTGCAAAGACATTATTGTATATTATCTGTAATACAAATGAGGATTATTAGTCAAATCTTCCCCTGAATGTTGTTAGGTTGACATGAATCTGATGATAAGTGTGGAATGAACCGTTTCCTCTTCTTTCTCTTTTTTAATTTGTCCCATTTACGCGTTTTGTTACGTGTATACAAAAAAAAAAAATTAATGTTTTACATTGTCGTTAATTAATTTTTTTTCCTTCTTTCACTTTCAACATTAATTAACGGAAAGATTAGTCATAGTTTATTTGTAATTTCATCTTTAGTTTATTTAACATATTAAACAATATATGTTAATTTGTAATGCCTCATACGTAATTCATTCATGCGTGCATATATAAGATTTCAAGATTTTTTTCATTGAATAACTTGAAATATTAACGTATTGGTAAGGTAAAAGTGTTGACATGACATTTTTAAAATGAAAATTAATAAATCTTAATTGTAAGCATTTTTCTTTTTTTTTTTGATGTAATAAGCATTTTTCTAATAATGAATCAAAACAAAATATATAACTAAAAATTCATTAAAGTCCCTTCCGTTTCTTTTTTTTTTTTTTAACCGAACAAAAGATATAATTAACTCTCCTTCCCCCACATTCATTAAAACCCTTCTCCTCATCACCACACTTAAAACCAAACACACTGTGAAATATATGCACTATTTATATTGAGAAATAGTACGACTCATCATCTCATGCATGTCTTGCGTAAATATTGCACAAGACATAATTTATTACTACCTCCGGTCATTAATATAAGAACTAATTGACTAATCTGAGCAGATTAAGAAAATTAGTTAAATTAATTATTTGAAATAAATATGTATTGTTTTTTTTCCTAAAATATCCTTATTAATTAAGTATATTGGTTGGAACTACTATTATTACAAGGACTACTTTGAAAAAAAAGAATAAATATGAGAGACAAAATAAATTAAGGTCTTAAATTTGATATTAAAACAAAACTCAAACGAACTCTTACATTAAAGACTGGAGATAGTAACTTATAAATATTTGTTGCATGTTAATAATGGAATCAATATATATATATAATCTCTGTGAAGTTATATTTATATTATTGTTGGCAAAAAATAAGGAAGGTTGAAGGGGATACTTTGATGATATTTGGACATTTTAGCCTGATGGTACAAAGCACTTCTCTTAAATCTCTCTTAACTATGGGGTTATGAGTTCGACTTCTCCACCTAATGATACTAAATACGTTTTTTAAACATGAGATTAGAAGTTCGACTTTTCATGGATAAGGCGCGTGAGGGGATATTTTGGGTTAGATGAAAGTAGAGAGAGAGAGAGAGAGGGAGATATTGATGAGGAGGAGGTGGAGGGAGGAGGGGAGCAAACAAGTGGGGAAATGATGGAGGGAGGCAAAGCAAAGTTGACTCTTCCAACAACGACGTACCATAAAACGTTTCTCCTTCGCTTCCCATTCGCCCATCTCTCTCTCTCATACTATTCTCCACTCCCCTCTTCTTATCTTGCCACTTGCCAACCATCCACCTCCCCCCCCTTCTTTCTTTATTTCACATTTTGTCTCCTCCTCCTTTTTCTTCCCTTCCTCCTCTGCTTCTAATAATTTACTCCCCCTGCAACCAACGACTATCGCCATCTACGTCACCCAGCTTAACTGATATAATAATAACCTCAAACTCCACTCTTCCCTTTTAACAAATGGTATCAGAGCCATGTTGGAAATATATAAAGCATCCTTGTATTTTAAAGACCTCATTATATAATACCATGATTTGATTCGCGCAACACAAACCTGATATAGATAAGATAGGGATGATTTATATTTCCCATTTGGTTGATTTTTTTGGACACACCTTGCCTGTGTATGTGTGCCTCCGCACAAGGGAAAGGGACTGAGACCTCAAAAGTTGCTGAATCATTACACACATGAACAGATCAAAATGAACAGTTATATTTTTTTTTTTGGGGGTCACTTTTTTTTTATACAGGTTGTTTTCTGCACCTAATTTCAGCTCCTTTCTTAATAATCTACAATTCATCTTTTCTGCAACTTGCAACTACACCACCACCGTCACTTTCCTCTTCCTTTCTCTTTCCTGTTTTTCTCCACCTCCTTTTCTTCCTTCACAAAATTTCAAATTTCACAAAATTACCCAAAAAACAAAATTAAAGATAAACGCTACAAAGCTCCGATTATCTTTGGCTTCTTGCTAAACTCTAACGTTAACAGCTCCACCTCTTTCCTCTTGCCGTGGCAGCTCCCACCTACAGATTCCGCCGGCGGCATTTTCAAAATGTTCACACCGAAGAGCCGAACCATCTGAACCGGCTGCACCACCGGCCCTGCCGGGTTGTACAGCCCCTCCATTCCGGTCCCTGCACCACCGACGACACTCTGGTTATTCCGGGCTTTCCAGTCAATGTAGAGCTGCCGGTCCGGTCCGGTCGACCTGTGGAAACTGACCGTATCGCCGGCTTTCAGGTTCTTCTCCTTCACGAACCTGCTCCATCCTTTCGTCAGCACGTAGCTCTGGCTACTATTCCAGTACGAGTACCGAAACCTCCACACTTTCCCTGCATCGTCCTCGAAATTCAAAAGCACCCCCTTCGCCGCCGCTGCCGAAACCGGGCAAGAAGCGACTCCGGTCTGCAACGGGAAGTTCTTCTCCGCGTGCTGCTTGGGTATCACCAATCGATTCAGCTTTCCCACGTCGCTCGGCGTGACGGTTTTCTCGAACAGCTGCTCACGCGCTTTCTGCGTCCGCTCGAAGCACGACCCTGCGCCGCCGTCCTTCCGCGACTTCCCGTTGCTTCCCCCGGCCAAACCTCGGTTGCGCTTGCTCTGCTCGAGTTCGTCATTGTAGGTGTGCTTCCTCAGCATGTCCACGATCTCGGCTTTGGAATGCGAGTTGAGGAAGGCCGTCTCGATATCGTCGTCCGACGCATCGTCGGAGCTGTTGCCGTTGAGGGGCTTGAAGTTGGTGACGGCGTCCTTGCCGCGGAACCTCTGGGCAGCGATGTCGTAGGCTCTGGCGGCCTCATCTTCCTCGTTGAACGTACCAAGCCAAACGCGCTGGTGCTTCTCGTATATCTGGGCCCCCCATCGTCCATTGGGTTGCGGCACCACTCCCTTGTATCTGGACGACGGCAGTTTCCTAGACTCAGCCTCAATAACGCTGCCATCGGAGTCCAAAACAGTGCTGGCGCCGCTGCCAACCCGGCAGAGACTATTTGGCGATGACTTGTGAGGCGTGACGTTGAGCGGCGATACAGTAGTCATGGCCGGAGAAAGCGATATGGACACCGAATCACTCGTTGTGCCTTCATCTACGCAACTACTTGCATCCATGTTTGCTTCTTATCTATGGTATGTGTGAGGAAAGCAAAAGAAGGAGAGGAAGAGAGAGAGAAGGAAGAAGGTATATGATTTTTTGGACTAGTGGAGAGAGAAGTGCGGGAATAGAGGAAGAGGAAGGAATATATATATAGGGTGGAAGGTGGGGGAGGGAATGTAATATATAATATTGAAGATAAAATGAAATGAAAAAGGAGAGTATTAAAATTATGAGGGGATACTGTTAGATGCTTTACTATGAATGGGGAGTAATAATAATAATAATAATAAGTTTGTATGTGGGGAAGATATGAAGATGATCATCAGGGTGGGTCAGTCAACTCAGCTGGAGGGTGCCCACAGTTATGGAACGAGCCAGGAAGATTCATACCCTCTGTCTAGCCTCCTTTTGTGGCAACAATCAAGATGCACCCTTATGTTAACATCAATATTAAAACCAAAAAATTAACTTCATCTTAAAATTTATTCGTTTTCAATTTTACCTCTATTTACTATCACCTTCTTCTGTTTTTATTTGATCTTAAATATAAGATTTTAATTTACTTTTTTTCTTATCATTTTTCAAAATATCCCTATTAATTGTAAGAGGCTTTCATCAAAGGATAATTTCAATCATTCAATGCACATATCGAATTTAGAAAGACCAACACATATTTGTGGCAAATAACCAATTTAACTAATTTTCTTAATGCTTCAAATTAGTTATCCAACTCTTATATTAAGACCAGAATGAAGTAGTGTATATATATGGGTAATACTTATATCAGGTTTCTTATATGTATTATATCAAGATCTCCATTTACGCATTGTCATATGTTCTATTTTGGAAGTGTCAATATTTAATAGTATTTAATTATAAAATCATATTAAAAAGATAAAACACATATACAGTAGTCACGTGTAACTAGAGAACTTGACATAATAGACATAAATAACTTGAAATAAGTATTTTCTAATATATATTATTTTTACATAACAATAAATTAGAGATAAAATTATATATTCATGCAATAAATTTAATAAAAAAATATTCACTGTATACCCTATTCATAGGACTATAGGAGTGTATAATCAACTACCACACGACTCATAATTATAAATAGAAAGATATTAATTTTTTGTAAGTAACCTATATCCATAATTATCAAAGTAAATATGATTTGACACACAAGGATTTGTTCAAATCTTTAGCTGAGTCCCAAAATGTATATATTTTTTCATTTTAAATATTATAGTTCACCTCAGTAATAAAGGTATTTAATTTAATTATGAATGGAAAAAATTAAAATTGTGATTGAGATGAAGGGGTGGGAGTATGTGAGAGTTGTGGGGAGTGGTATGCGAGGTAGGGCCCAAGTTGATGGGAATCACATGAGAGGTGGACCTTGACTCTGAAGTTCATCCCCCCAAGCTTTGCTGCTCTTTCTCTCACCTTTCACCACCATGCATCTCCTCTCTCTCTCTCTCTCTCTCTCTCTCTCTCTCATCATTAATTTTTCTCTCTTTTTTTTCCTGACAAAAATACTACCTCCGGCCCCTAGTATATGAATTTGATCTCAAATATAAAATTTTGATTTACTTTTTGTCTTATATTATATATTTTTTTCAGATTTTTTCATTGGTTGTATATTTTACCGAGCTCCCATCAAGGACAGCATCAATGCGCATAAATAATTAAAAAAAAAAGCGTTTTAAGAAAATCAATCCACAACACACAGATTAAATTGATTATTTTGGCCCTATATTAAAACACCGGAGGGAGGGTTCTAAATAAATGCCATGTGTATAATATATAGATGGATTATCTGCTACTGCTGCATGGTGATGGGAATCTGGCGTATTATTTGGAGTTTGCTTTTTATGGACCAATGGGGAAAAAGGGGAGGAAAAAAATAGAAAGGAGATTTTCCAGTTGGATGGCTTTGTGGGGTCTACACATCACACAGCACACAGATTGATATATATAATCAGAGAGGTGGCTAGGAGGCATAAGGATTGGATGGCCTTTGAGGAAGAAGTTAAAATATCATCATCCCAACAAAAATATAATTCCCTCTTTGGCTTCTTCTTTCTTCTTCGTTAGTCCCCTGGTTTCAGTGTGTCCTTGTTGTCCAGGTTCATCCACAAAGTTTTGGCATTATTTTTTTTTTTTTGTATAAAAAGTTTAAGTAAGTTGCATCTTAGAGACTTATTAGGACAAGACATGCATTTAGGCTCAGAGAGAACTTATATAGGTACTTACAGATCGCCTATCAATAAGGTTCTCATATTGGCAACGGGATTCTAACTCATAACCTTATGAGTTATGAATCAACTCCTTGACCAATTCTCGTTAATGACGTTATTAATGATTCTCCCATTAGATTCCCCCTTCTCCAACATTATTATAATAATCATTCCACATATAAACCAACTCCTCCTTAATTACTCTCTCTCCAAACATGTGCTTCTTCCTGTTTTGGTAAATAAAATTAAGGTGTAATAATTAATTCGTCTGTTTTGTTCTCGGTTTTGCCTTGGAATGAAACAAAACAAAGAAGCCATCCATTTCATATAAAACCAGGGACCTTCCGTTCTTTGTGAATTGTGGGGCTTATCTTGTTTTGCCCCATGCATTATCTTTCCCTCTCCAACCCCCAAAACCAAGCATCTCATTAACAATCGCTTTGAATTATCGTACACATTCACATCACAACCACATACAATATATATATATATATATGTCTATACATAAAAATCATTTTATGATTTTATCCTGTGGGTCCATTTTATTAGTATCTTCAAATTTAGGCGCATTAATCTGGGATTACTCATCTCTCCAATCAAATTAATAGCTTCCATTTATCACTATCTCCTATCATATCTTAATGAAATACTCAACAAGCTAGCTCTTATATTTAAAACAGAAGCTAATAACAGATGGTTAGTTTTTTTTTTGGCCAACAATTAGTTATTATTATCGTAAATAAAAAAGATAGATAGAGGAGGTCAGTGTACGGAGAAGTCCTGAGCGGGGGAAAAGGGCCCCACATGGACAGCAAGTGGATCAAAACCGAGGTCGGGACGACGGTGGGTTATTGTTTGTGCGAGCAAGCCTTCCTCAATGGTTTGTTGTGTAGGACCCCCCCGAAGAGATAGAGATGGAGAATAGAGATGAAAAGAAAATAAATAAATAAATAAATAAATAAAAAAGCACAGGCAGATTCCCACCAAAGCTTTTCAATTATACTTACCACCCCAAAAATAATTCCCATAATTCCACACTTACCTCAATTATTTGTCGCACATACACATTACCCCCCAATAATTATTTTGTTTCTGTTGCCTTATACTCACCGTCGCTACGTTTTCTTTTATTTCCATTTTGTTGCTTCTAGCTTACATATTTATCTAATTCTTATTTTTTAATTTTGGACCCATCGTCGTATCATTCATTATTATTAGTATCATTATTATTTATTATTATTATTATAAAAACATTATTATATTTTGTTTCTCGTAATTATGCCTAACTATACACCATTCTGTGTTTCCATTTTTTTGTTTTTTTTGGTTGATACCATGAGAGCATCATACTAATAATAAGGCTCACGAAACATGGTTCCTAAAATACAGTGGCTCACATCAAAATCAAAATACCATATTGAAACAAGTGTCTCATAAAAAAATATTATAAATACAGGGTCTCACATGCCTTTAATTCTTCCCTGAATTCTATCTGTCATGAAAAAGATAGAAATTAATTACGACACAAACATCGACCCACTTGGATTTTTTTGGTGTTATCCTTTTTTTCCCCTGCTGCTTATTTAGTTGTATAATTTCACTTTATGTCATGTTCTTTATAAACGGAGAATCAAAATGAGCACCTCAAAACTCCAATAATAAAAAAATTATAATGAATATTATCTTATACTCTAATGATTTTAATCTTATAATCTTAAGTTGTAATTAGATGTGGAATAGTAGAAGTCCGTCGGGGGGAGAGGGGTAGTAGAAGGATACGGAAACATTGTCCTTTCAGAAATGTCCACTCCGACCTAGTGGGAACGTGGGAAGGAAATGTGCTGTCTCAGACCGACATATTCGGATAATTCATATAAGAGGCTGTCATTCTGTGTTCCTACGCTCCATCACCCTTCTCATGCTCCCCCTTCTTTTGCCCCTTTTCACTTCTTGGATCACTCATTTCTCTTTAATACCACCTCATTAATCATACTACTATATCTTGTTTATAAATTATAAATGAGGTTTTATAATTAAAATCAGAAGTAATATTAAATAGGCTTTTATCTAGATCTCTCCTAGCCCTTCTGTCTGATCTTGCCCTATCTTATTAGATGCTAACGGTCTAGGTAAAATATGAGACATGTGAATTTTATTGTATAAACCTCATGTTTTAATATGATTATATCTTAGGATATATTGAATGAGTGCGCACGGCTTTATTTGATGTGAAAATTTCATATTAGATAAATTTAATTTAATATATACTACTATATATATAAATTTTGAAGTTTAATTGTGTTAATTTCATTCACGAATATGCAGTTTCATGCTCAAACACAATTTAGGGAGGGACTACGTATTTAACGAGCAAAATGGCTCTGGCTGTAATAATGTTATCTTGCCTGAGAGAATTGCGGAAAAATAATTATGATTGCTTAAGTTTTTATTTAAAACCTCCTAATCATCTACTAATCATGATCAATTAGGCTCTTTTAAAGTTAAGATTAAACTATCAAATTCTCACCAATCTGACCTTACATTCCAGCATCCACTACATACCTAGCAATAGTTTAGCGGAGAATCTGAGGAAAAAAAAATCATGAGAAAAGTTAACACACAGAAATATAAGCATAGTTAAATTGCGTATGTATTTTTAATCTTCCAAACCTAGCTAATACTACTACTAGGGTTTATGAAAAAGCATTGAATTCACATTCTGAGATAATGATATAAAGATCTTCAAAATCTACATTGCACGTGAATGATAACACAAAATCTTGGGAGAATTAAATATGGTATCATTTGTGCATAATCACATCTATA